TTTTCTATATTTCTATGTATAAGTTTACATACAAGTTGCGCATTTTAACCCCCTTTGAAAATAAAGGGAAAAAATGTTGAAAGATTCTAAAAGAAAAAATAAAACTATCATCATTACCAAATGACATACTCACGTATGCAGAAAGATCAGACTGCAGTTGCACTATTATAATTAATAAGTAAATATAGAAAGGTAGTTGGATATAAAATCAATTTTAAATATAATTTTTCATATATTAACAATAAAATATCAGAAATTACATTTCCAAAATCATAGGACTTTGAATAACATCAACCTTTACATTATCAAATACTAACACAAAAAGGGAAAAAATTAAGAGAAGATAAATTAGATCTTTATGCATTAAATACATTACTGAGAATAATTAAATAAGTCTTTACAAATATTCAATATACTTTAGTCATGGTTTGATCAACTCACTACTGTGAAAACTGTGTTTCCTACGCAGTTTTTTCTCTCTTCAGTACAGTGCCATTCAGCATCTCAGTAAGTTCTAAGTATAAAATTCAATGAAGATGTAATATTCTTTTCATAGCAGTGCAAAGATTCTATAATAGAAAGGGATACTTACCTAGGATAGAAAACAAACTGGAGAATATAGAGAACTAAAGAGCATGTTATTTTCTAGAAGAATTACAATAATTTTATCATACTAACACTGTCTTAACACTATTATACTATCTGGCAAAGATAGGCAAACAGAAAATAATTCATAGGAGGATTAAATAGAAGTGCAAAAACAAACCCATAAATATATGACCACCCAGTTCATGATAAACGTGACACTTCAAGGGAGGAAAAAAATTATAATTCTTTTTGACAAATAATACAAAGTCCATTCAATATATACATGGAAAAAATTAATCAGAACACTGCTGTATACCATACAAAAATGTCAATCCTTGGTAAATTGTAGATCTTAATCTGAACATTAAATACTGAAACTATTGTCAAAAATAAGATAAAGTAAAAAACAAAAATGTCAGCCAAATATCCACAAGTCATATCAGATAAATGATTTGTATTAAAATTATATGTGTGTTTGTTCACACCTGTGTATATATAGAAGAAACAAAATCAATTAGAAAAACACCAGAAGTTCAACAGTAAAATTGCAAACTCTTTTAACAATTACTTAACAAAGTATATAATCAATACCCTATAAATCATTAAAAGCTGTTTAACTACATTACACATCAGTGTTTATGCAAATTAAGGCCATTATAAAATACCATTATACATATATATGAGAAGGGCTAAAGTAAAAGAAAATTCATGAGTTGGTAAGACTTTGAACAACTAGATTCCTCTTATACTGCTTTGAAGGATTTAAATTCTTAAATTACTTCAAAAATTATCTCTGTTTGCTAATAATGAATAAAATGCCTCTATATCACAGCAATTCTATTGCTATTATATATATAAAACAGAATTGGAACTTACTATTACCAAAATACATCAGATACAGTAAGAACATTTATAATAACAAAAATCCAAAAATAATAAATGTTTTCCTTTATAATGTCAAATTAATTTTGATATATCCACACAATAAAATTCTAAACACTAATGAAAGAATACAAATATTACAAAGTCAAATTAAATTTGATATATCTACACAATGGAGTTTTGTACATTGATGAAAGAATACTAAATCACATGTAAACTCGTGAATAAAAAAGAAGCCTAGAAAAAAATGTGTGAGTATTGTATTGAGTTCACTTCTTCAGACAAAATGAGTTTATGATATTAGATACAAGGATAGTAGTTTCAATTTGAAGGTTCTGTGAGAAGTCAATAATATGACTAAAATTTGAGGCAATAATGAATGCAAGATGAGTGCTATTATAAAATATGCGATTTTTAAATTCAAAAAGTATTTGTACTTTGGGAAGTTCATTTAATAAAATTAAGATTAATTCAGAAATAATAAACAATGAAGATTCTGTTAGATAATATAAGAGAATATCATCTCAACCTTAAATGGACAATATTTTCTATGCAAAAAGACACACAAAACACTAATTAAAAGAAAAAGAAAATGTATTAAATGTGCTTAATTTACGTTAATAGATTTCATCAAAAGAGCTCAAAATAAGGCAGCCACAGCAAACAGCTCCATGTAAGAAAATATTCACAAAAATTTTAAAAGACATATATCTGTGATACACAGAAAACAATCAAAAGAGAAAAACAAACAGACCAATTGCTCAAAAATGAACAAAATATTTGAATAGGCATTTCACAAGAGTGTATGCAAAATACCAATAAAGCACACAAAGAGGTGATCAAACATTTTAATCACTAGGAAAATGCAAATAAAATAATTCTGAGATAATGCCACATGTTCAGCTAAATGATTAAAATTAAAAGCAAAACCAAAATTTGACAAATGTGAAAATAAAAAGTTGTATGAAAAGTATTCATCGTGAGTGTTCTGTAGCCTGTCTCATAGTGGATTATTCACTTTGGTCAAGTTCTCAATATCTACTAAAACTTCACATGCAGAACCCCTCTGATGCTTAGTTGCATGTCTTATTTTACTCGCTATAGAAACATGTATTTCTTTGTTGTTAATGGTTAATGAAACTTGGAAAAAATTCATGTAGTACATGACAACGTAGTGATAGATAACTACATAATATACACATACACACACACACACGAGACTAAAAATAAGCAAATAAACAGAGTCTAAGAGACTTGTAAGGCAATAGTGAAGAATCATGTTCAAAGTTTTCAGTTTAACTTCGTGAAAGGAACAGGTAAAAGTGCATCTAATCTGTTTTCCTAGAAGTTCCGATTTCTTTATTTGTTTTTGAACCACCTGTATGTAGACTGCAGTCTTCATAACACAGCATCACTAACTATTTGTGAATTACAGAATGATGATAAGATTCTCATGTACTATTTTAACCTTGAGATATTTTCATTAATTATAAACATCATCAAGTATTTAGTTCATATTTTCTAAATTATCTGAATAATGCCTTTATTTATTTTGTTTTAATTTACCATCCATCAAAAGGCATGTGTTGCCATTAGTATTTCTTTTATTTTAATTTCGGGGGTACATGTGTAGGTTTGTTATATGGATGTATTGTGTAATCCTGAAGTTTGGGCTTCTTCTGAACCGATCACCCAAGTAGTGCACATAGTATTCAACAGGTAATTTTTCGACCGTTGCCACACTCCCACCTTCCCACTGCTCTTTGGGAGAACCCAGTTTCTATTGTGTTCATTTTTGTGTCCATGAATATCCATTTTTTCAGCTCTCACTTATTACTGAGAACATGTGGTATTTGATTTTCTGTTTCTGCATTAATGCACTTAGGATAATGGCCTCCATCTGCATCCATGCTGCTGCAGTGGCCATTATTTCATTACTGTTTTGGCTGCATAGTAGTCCATGGTATGTATATACTACTTTATTTTTTACCCAATCAGCCACTGGTGTACACTCAGATTTATTCCAATGTGTGAATGCTGCTGTGATAAAGCTGAGAGTGCAGGCATCTTTTTGGTAGAATGATTTCTTTTCCTTCAGGTAGATATCCAGTAATGGGAGTGCTGGGTCAAATGATAGTTCTGTTTTCAGTTTTTTTGAGAAATCTTCAAACTCTTTCACAGGTGCTGAACTAATTGACACTCCCAGCATATAAGCATTCTTTTTCTCTGCAACCTCTCCAACATCTGTTATTTCTTAACTTTTTAATAGCCATTCTGACTATTGTAAGATGGTATCTCATGGTGGTTTTAATTTGCATTTATCTGACTATTAATGATGATGAGAGTTTTTTCATGTGTTTTGGTCACTTCTCTGTCTTTTTTTGACAAATATTTCTTTATGTCTTTTGCCTATTTTTAAATGCGGTTATTAGTTTTTGTGCTATTGATTTGTATTTTTTAATAGTTCCTGGATATTAGTCCTTTCTTGGATGGATACTTTGCAAATATTTTATGCTATTCTGTTTGAAATATTCATTTCAGATAGTTTTCTAAATCTCATCAGAGTAACATTTTAATAGAAAAATATTCTGGCTGGGCAAGGTGGCTCACGCCTGTAATCCCAGCACTTTGAGAGGCCAAGGAGGACAGATTACCTGCGGTCAGGAGTTTAAGACCAGCCTGACCGACATGATGAAACCCAATCTTTACTAAAAATACAAAAATTTAGCCGGTCCTGGTGGCAAGTGCCTGTAATCCCCGTTACTGGGGAGACTGAGGCAGAAGAATTGCTTGAACCAAGGAGGTGGAGGTTGCAGTGAGCCAAGATTGCTCCACTGTTTTCCAGCCTGGGTAACAATAGCAAAACTCCATCTCAAAAAATAACAAGAAAAGAAAAATATTATCTTATTTATACAAGAAGGGATAGGAAGTGCCAGGAAAGGAAGGGTGTGGTCTCTGACTAGGGCTTCACCCCAGTGACTGCTACCATGAACCTAGGTGAGGACAGGCGCTTCTGTTTTCCTGCCTGAATTTTGCATTTCCCAAGACCACCCTGGCCCTCCACGCCCCCATCCTGTGCCTATAAAACCCCCAGACTCTAATGAGAAGACACAAGCAGCTGGACCTCGAAAGGAGCACACCAGTGGAAGAAGACATAAGCGGGTGGGGGCCAAGAGGCATGCACCAGCATAAGAGCACACGATAGACACTGGCAGGCCAGCAGGTCATCCACCAGCAGAATCACGCGGAGTTTGGCTGGGGGGCGCTAGGAGGGCGCAGCCCCAACTCCAGAGAAAACTGATCTTCCCACTCCATCTCCCTTCTGGCCTCTCCATGTGCTGAGAGCTCCTTCCACTCAGTAAAACCCTGCAGTCATTCTCCAAGCCCACGTGTGATCTGATTCTTCCGGTACACCAAGGCAAAAAACTCTGGGATACAGAAATCCCTCTGTCCTTGCGATAAGTCAGAGGGTCTAATTAAGCTGACTAGCACAAGCTGCCTACAGAGCGCTAAAATGAAACAGCATGCTGTAACACACGCCCACTGGGGCCTCAGCTGTAAACGTTCACCCCTAGACACTGCTGTGGGGGTCAGAACCCCACAACCTGCCCACTTGCATGCTCCCAAGAGCTTGAGCAGCATGGTACTGAAGCAGCAGCAATTCACACCCCCATTGCATGGCCTGCGAGGGGGACAAGGGAATTTTCCAGTTTCACTATTGTTCTAGGTTTTCTGTTTACTCTGTAGACTGTTTTTTGCCTGTGTAGAAGCTCTTTAATTTTAGTAAGTGTCATTTGTCATTTTGCTTTTGTTGCTTTGCTTTTGAGATTTTAGTCATAAATTCTTTGCCTAGGCTGATGTTCAGAAGTTTTCCCTAGGGTTCCTTCCAGAGTTTTTATCGTTTAAGGTCTTATATTTAACTGTTTTCATCCATCTTGAGTTAATTTTTGTATATGATTAGAGGTAGGAGTCCAGTTTTATTCTAAAAGAATAAAATGTAAAACATGTGGCTAGCCAGTTTTTCCAACTCCGTTTATTGAATAGGGTGTCCTTTCCCCATTGTTTATTTTTGTCAACATCGTCAAAGGTCAGCTAGTTGTAGGTGTCTGGTATTGCTTTTGGGTTCTTTTGTCCATTCCATTGATCTATGTGCCTGGTATTTTGGTACCAGTGCCACGTTGTTTTGCTTTCCATAGCCTTATAGTATAGTTTGAAGCCAGGTAATGCCGTGCCTCTCACTTAGTTATTTTTGCTAAGGAAGCAATTAGTGTTTATCTTGATTTCTTTTATACCAGACCACACCCCCAGCCTCAGCCCTACCACTGATTCTTTGATTGTTTCATTTAAATGGCATAAACCCTTGACACATCCAAGTCTGTTTCACCATAGATCAGTCTATAATTTTAAATGGTTGTGATCATTCCTATACATAGCCAAATGATTTTTTTTTTTTTTTTTGATGGGCAGGCGGTGAGACTACTAAAGCAATGTGTACATTTACTTTGTATCATATCAGGAAGAGTGTATTGTACAATTGTTTTAGTGTTGACGATGCTAAGTTTCCTCAGTTGAATAAGGTGATGCCTGTCATGTTCCTCTATTGTAAAGTTACACTTACATCTTTTTATTAATTATTATTTTTATTTATTTATTTTTTGAGAGGGAGCCTTGCTCTATCACCCAGGCTGGAGTGCACTGGTGCAATCTTGGCTCACTGCAATCTCTGCCTCCTGAGTTCAGGTAATTTTCCTGCCTCATCCTACTTAGTAGCCGGGATTACAGGCACTCACCACCATGCCCAGCTAATTTTTGTGTTTTAGTAAAGACAGTGTTTCACCATATTAGCCAGGCTGGTCTCAAACTCCTGACCTCAAGTGATCTGCCCACCTCAGCCCCCTAAAGCGCTGAGATACAAGAGTGAGCCACATCTGTATTTAAATTAAATTAATTAGTTTAATTAATTTAAATAAATTAGTTTGGATGATGATGCTTTGAAATTACTACAGGTGCTGTTCCTATTTTTTATGTGGTTTTCTAAGTCTCATCAGAGTGACATTTTAAGAGATAAAAAACTTTTTAACCGATCACTGCAGCTGCTGGAGTGAAATCCTCTTATCCTTCCCACCTGTCACCCTTCAGCTTTAATGTTATACAAAGACACAACTTCCACCTCAACTTGTCTACACTAAATTCATTTTCTTTGTTCCTTCCATCCAAATATGCTCCCATTCTTGTATTTCTCTCTTTAAAATCTTATTGTACCATCATTTATGAAAGCAGGATTTTGGAAACCATCTTTCAAATTAAATTCAAACTTCGTATCTGCCCTGTGTGTCCCTCCGTAATCTGATCCCTGTTTCCTTCTCCTCATTAACTTCCTTTCTCCTGCCCATTTGCCTGTTCACTTATGTGATCTTTCTCTCTTCGCAGTACCTGAAGCCTGGAAAGCCTTTTTTCTCTGATGCTTGCATGTTTTCCCTTTGGCTAGATGCTTGTTCTCTGGATATTTCATGATTGTCTCTTTCCCTCAATCCAAGGTTTTCCATTTTGATTTTCTGATTTTCTTATATGTGACTCTGCGTTCCAAATAAATTAATTTTTATTTGGGCTGTGCCAGTCTGATCCAACTTTTCATTGTGGCATTCCCAGCTCCTAGTACACTGGATGGCTCTTAGAATACACTCACTATATATTTGGTGAATTTATATATAAATGAATCAATATGTCTTTGATGTCTCCTTTTCTTATGCTAGCACTATGGTACTGATTGAAAGCTGTACAGATAGTCCCTAACTTACAAGGATTTAATTTACAATTTTCTACTTTATGATGCTATGAAAGTGAAAAGCCATACTTTGAGTTTTGAAGTTTGATTTTTTCCAAAGCTAATGATATGCAATACAATACTCTCTCAGGATGCTGGGGAGATACAGCTCCCACTCAGCTATGCCATCATAAGGGTAAACTGATACTCTCCAATGTACTCTCTACTGTGTTGCCAGATGACTTTGGCCAATACTGGACTAATATAAGTGTTCTGAGCATGTTTAAGGTAGACGAGGCTGAGCTATTTTTAGTAGGTTAGGTGTATTATATGCATTTTTTGACTAAACGAAATTTTCAGCTTATGATGGGTTTATTAGAAAGTAACCACATTATAAGTCAAACAGCTCTGAACTTGCTATAAAGAGTGATAATGCAGGGGGCAGTGGCTCATGCCTATAATCCTGGTGCTTTGGGAGGCTAAGGCAGGAGGATTACTTGAGCCCAGAAAATCTAGGCTGCAGTGAGTAATAGTGGCCCCACTGTACTCCACAATGAATTTTGTATTGCAGCTATTTTGTAAAAGAATATTGATTTTTGATAATGTAGTTTTTGTATAAAACTTTTTAATTAAAAAACTCATCTCTTGCCTGCATCATTAAAGGATTCATAGTTAATGATTATGAACTGAATACAGCTCATTCCTAATTGATAAAACATAATCTAATTATTTAAACTAATAATTTAATTAAATGATTTGACAATTAACTTGATATTAGAAAGGATAGTCACTCTACATCTATGGCTTAAGTATCTTAAATATCTTGAATTGAAGATATTCTACAATAAAATTTTTGTAAATTATGTTTATTATCATATAACAAACAAAATGAACATGCAGACACACACGCACACACAAACACATGCACACGAACACATGCATACATACACACAGACCCACACATAGAAGATAAGTGAAAAAGATCAATTATTTATCAGATAAAATACAGATTTAAAGAGATTCCTTGAAAATATTTTTGTTTCTTTTTGTTCTCATATTCACCTTAATGATCTTAAAAATAACTTATTCTAAAAGATTATTAGCATTTTAATATTCAGTTTGGTTATCTATTATTATTAATGTAGCTATGACTTTCCATCATGTGCATTACAATATGGAAAACATTTTAAATGACTACTTTACTTAAATAGTAGGTAGTCTAAATGAAGTACTCATGAATTGAAATATCTTTAAAGTAGTCACCATATCATCTACAAAAATATTCATTTTTATCTTCACTGCTTTTATGGAAGTTATTATTTTGAAATATTATTTTATTTTCTGAATGGCCATCTATGTTTTGTTATGAAGGGTTTTCAACTTTTAAGGTGAAGGTAATAAAGTACAATGTGGTTAAGAGCAATGTCTTAAAAATTAAGTAATTTTTGATAATTATTTATTGAGCTGGTTTAACTGTAAAATATTCAGCCATCAGACTCCTTTGATCAGCAGGATCTAAGAATACTTGGAGGAGAAAATATTACCCTTGAGCAACACCACAAACCACTAGATGGTAGTATATCCTTTCTTATTTAATAAAAATAGTCACCATTTCAATTTATTCTTTTAAATATTTAGTGGTAAAGAATGATAGTACTTTATTTGCAAAGACAAAGTTTAGTACTGTTTTATGTTTGTATTGTTATTTCATTTTTCGATTTTTGGTTTTTCCAATTTTCCATTTTGTAGGTATAAGAAACTATAATGATTTTTATTGTTGAGGGCTTGATGGTTCAGAATATGTAGCAATAATGTGTTTTCTAATTTATAAACAGAAATTTAAGTGTTTTTATCATCATATATTAAAATATTATTCTATTATAGTCTATATTTTGAATATTTAACTTTTTTTTTTTTTTTTTTTTTGAGACAGAGTTTCACTCTTGTTGCCCAGGCTGTAGTACAATGGCGTGATCTCAGCTCACCACAACATCCCCCTCTGGGTTCAAGCGATTCTCCTGCCTCAGCCTCCCGAGTAGCTGAGATTACAGGCATGAGCCACCACACCTGGCTAATTTTGTATTTTTAGTAGAGACAGGATTTCCTCCTATTGGTCAGGCTGGTCTGGAACCCCGACCTCAGGTGACCCAATCAACTTGGCCTCCCAAAGTGCTGAGATTACAGGGGTGAGACATCACGCCAGACCTTCGCTTTTATTTTATAGGAAAAAACTGTCCATCAGCATGCAAGAAATTATGAATATAAATGTTTTATTGTAAATATTATTATTAATGAGAAGCTATTACCATTCAATACGTCTGAACTCTCTGGTAAACAGAAAAGTCAATTAAAAATAAAATGATGTTTCAAAGGTTATGTCACTGAGTAATTAATTCTTTTTTTCTTTGCTCCCCCCCATCAACCACTGTAACCCCGTAAGAACAATAGATTAACTGCATGTCATTTCCTGTGTTTTCATATTCATGGTAATATCAACATAAATTTTATATAAACACCTGTTTGAGAGTGTAACTTCTTGTAATTGGTATAGTTTGGTGTAAAAGTAATTGCAGTTTTTATCATATAAACTAATGACCAAAACTACAATTACTTTTGCAGTAACATAATAGATTTATCCATCAAATAAGATTATTACTAACTGCTGCAAATAGACAATTGGACTTCTCATATGCATTGCTAGGGATCAAAGTTAGCATAATATGACTAAAAGGCTATTTTAAAATGCTTTGTAAAACAAATAATCATTGACATGAAAACCACAGTTCTAGAAATTTATTTGAAAATGTAGTTATGAAAACGTACAACAATTAAGCTACAAAGATATTTATTAGAATATTATTCACCATGGGAATGTGATACTGTCTACACAATAGTATGCAATTTAAAAATCATTAACAACAAATCATGTAATAGGAAATTATATAACAAGTATATGTTTATTAATTCACATGGAAATTTACAGAACATTAATTCACAAGGAAAAAAAAATGCTACATTCTGTAGTCAAATGGTAGGTAAAAAATAATATTGGAATCCAGCTCATGTATGTAAGAAAAAAATTATAACCTATGTGCCTTGTTCTGTATACTTTTCTATATTTACATTTGTATACATACCTCATAATCCAGGTACTAAGGCAAAACAATCTATATTTCTGCAGCACTAGAGAATAGATCCATATTCAAATTCCCTATTCAGTTATGTCAAACATGTAAATTTGTACAAGAAATTAATATATGCAAACTAATGAAAATATTGACAAATACATATTATTTATTATTAAATTATATGAAATAAAAAATGGAGGTTTCAAGTGTTTCTTGTCATTTCTTTCTTTTCTTTTTTTTTTTTTTTGAGATGGAGTCTAACTCTGTCACCAGGCTGGAGTTCAGTGGCACTATCTTGGCTTACTACAACCTCTGCCTCCAGGGTTCAAGCGATTCTCTTGCCTCAGCCTCCTGATTAGCTGGGACTACAGGTGTGTGCCATCATGGCCAGCTAATTTTTGTATTTTTGGTAAAGATGAGGGTTTCACCATGTTGGCCAGAATGGTCTCAATCTCTTGACCTTGTGATCTGCCTGACTCTTGTCATTTCTTAATACAAAATAAATTTAAACATATAAACAATAAAAATAACAAATACTGGTAATAGAACAGCTCACAAAGTCTTTTAAAATGAATTAAGTTATATAAACTTATGAGGCATAATTTATATAATAACTGTGATAACTAATCTGGCCTCTAGAGGGTAGTGAGGAGAACATGGCTAGCATTGGGAGTATATAAAGGAATTTGCCTCCAGATTTTTTAATATAATAAAGTATTTAACAATAATCCTAACCTGAATGAAAATAGTAGTGCTGAAAGATATTCTACAAAAAAATTGAATGTGTATACATATTAATTTAATTCTATATAAAGTAAAATGCCTTTCTTGATATTTTCAGTAAGGCCAATGCCCATTTTCATTTTTAATTATTCATAAAATATTAGACTTTTAGCCAATATATCATAGAGTAAATCAAAAATCTAAAATATATTAAATTAATCAAAATCCATTAAACTATTATGTATAGAAATGATTGTTTACTGGGTTTTCACTATCATTTTATATTTTATAATAATGTTATTATTGAGTTATAACCATCATTTTATATATTAGTTTTTGTTTTTCTTTTATTTCAACAGTTTTTGGGGTACAGGTGTTTTTTGTTACATGGATAAGTTCTTCAGTAGTGTTTTCTGAGATTTTGGTGCACCTGTCACCAGAGCAGTTTACATTGTACCCCATATGTGTCTAACTCCTCATCCAAGGTCCACTCTTCCCCAAGAGTCCCCAAAGTCTAGTATATCATCTTATGCCTTTGCATTCTTATAGCTTAGGTCCCACTTACGAGGGAGAACATAAAATATTTGGTTTTCCATTGCTGAGCTACTTCATTTAGAATAACGGCCTCCAACTCCAACCAAGTTGCTGCAAAGGCTGTTTTTCCATTCCTTTTTATGACTGAGTAGTATTCTATGGTATACATATACATTCTCCTTATCCACGCATTGGTTGATGGGCATTTAGGTTGCTTCCACATTTTTGCAATTGTGAATTGTGCTGTTATAATTATGTATGTACATGTGTCTTTTCCATATAATGACTTCTTTTTTTTTGGTTAGTAGTGAATAGCGGGATTGCTGGATTGAATGGTGGTTCTACTTGTAGTTCTATAAAGAACCTCCCTACTGTTTTCCATTATAAGTGTCTTCCTTTTAGTCATATCACTAAGAGGTTCTTATTGAGCTTCTCTGGGCTATAAAGTAAAATTCCAGTTATTGTTTATTTATTATATTAGCAATAGAAGTTTTTCTAATTATACAATGTTCTACAGCCTCCCTAGAAGTCATGGACAGAAGGCTATAGCTCAGAGGAGTTGCACAGAAATTTTGAACTTTTGCGAATACAGGAGGAGAGGAAAGCAGGAAGGAATTAAAAAATAATGATTTCCATTAATACTTAGAATGAATTTTACTTATTAAATAAAATTGTATATTAGTTAACCTATATATTATATATGTATATTCACTTGTTTTTCATAATATATATCAGATTCAATAAGATACACAGGCATATAATGAAAAAAATATATATATAGGTTACGTTTATAGATTAATTAAAGAAAAACCAGCACCTTACCAACGAGTCTTCCAATTTCTAAATAATTAGCATATCTCTTCATTTCATCTGTGTTTTTAATTTATCTCATCAGTGATGTTTACATATTTATGTATTAGTGGATATAATTTGTTAAAATTTTCCTTAAATGCTTTATATTTTCTGTTGCTATTATATATGATATGTACTTTTAAATTTGATTTGATTTTTAATCCTTTGCTGCTGAAGTACAGAAACATAATAGATTTGGGTTATTGACCTTGCACTTTACAAAGTACTAAACTCACTTATCAATTCTAGAAGTATTTTTCAAAATATATTGAATTTTAATGTAAATGTCCCTGTGTATGCATATGAACACAGTTTTGTCTCTTTCTTTTCATTCTATTGTTGTTTGACTTATTTTTTTGCTTCATTGTGCTGGCTGGGACTTTCAATGTAATGTTGAATAGAATGGATATCGTTATTGTCTCCCTAACCTTGGAGAAAAGTGATCCATCACCCATGGTTAATTATAATTTCTGTTAATGTAGGTGTGCTGATGATATATTTACTCAGGTTTATTTGTCTGGAAATTTTTTATTGTCTATATTTTAAAAGCTTATTTTGCCTGGGTGCAGAGTTACGCATTGACAGTGGGATTGTTTTGGCTATAGCAACAATATCACCACATTCTCACATTCTCTTTTAATCTGCATCATTTCAGATAAGCAACACATTTTTATTCAGATATTTGTTTCTCTGTACATAATGTTTTTTATAACTCTCTATTTTAAAATTTCTCCTTTATTGCTGGCTTTCAGCAATTTAATTTTATGTGCTTTGGTGTAGTGTTTTATATGTTTATCTTGCCTTGGGTTAATTGAGGCTTTAGGGTCTGTGAGTACAGAATTTTGGTAAAATTTATAAATATTTTAGTAATTTCTACTTTGCTATTTACTGTATCCCTTTCTCTTTCTGGTACTCAAGTAATATATATGATTGGCTGCTTGATATTTTCCAGCATGTTAAAGAGAGTCTTCTTAGTCTTTCAGTCTTTATTTTTCCCTCTCTCTCTTCATTTTGGATATTTTTTGCTTTTATATCTTCTACTTAATACATCTTTTATTCAATAGTGCCTAAAGTTTTCTTAAAATGTAGAGGTAATTTTACCTTTAAAAATTACATTTGGTTCTTTTTATATCCTTAATTTCTTTCTCATTATATTTATAATTAGTTTTACATGTTGAGCAGATATGCGTAAGTATATGTGGTAAACGTATAATGGCTTTTTAAATATACTTGTCTACTGATTTATCAGTTCTGTTTCTGTTTCTGTTGAGTGATTTTCCTTCTGGTTATTTTTCTTTCTACTTGTTTATTTGTTGTGGGTATCAGATATTGTTAATTCTACAGTGTTGGGTGTTGGATTTTGTTTTATTTATTTAAATAGTGTTAATTTTTTTTCTGACAGTTAAGTTCTTGAAGATCAGTTTGAGTCCTTAAATGTATATTGGTAAGTGCTCTTAAGGTAGGTTTAGAGTAGATCTTACTCTAGGGATAGTTAAACACACTTCTTAGGTATGGCCAGTTAGAGATCTCTGATGAACAACCTGTGTATTATAAAGGTGTTTCAACACTGACTGCCTTTATGTGAACTGTAGGAATTTTTTTTTAAACGTGTAGATCCCTGAGAATTAATTGTTCTTTTCTGGAAAAAAAAAAAAAAAAAAAAAAAAAAAAAGCTCTATGTAGGCCTCATAGTATTTCACCTATGCATTCTCAAAGAGGCGGGCAGTTGAAAACTCCAAGGGGATTCTTATCCATATTTTCAAATTCCTTCACTTGGAGTCACCTCTTCTAAGAAACTCTGTTTCGCAAATTATTAGTGCCTTTGCCTTTTCAGCTGTGATCCTTGTTTCATCAATTCATTGAGAATGTTGGACCCGTTTGGCTTTCTCCCTTCCTGAACTACAGAACGTCTTAGAGCCTAGTGCCCACTGGCTTTGTTTTCCATCTCAATGGATCACAGTTCTGTGCTGCCTGTTCTACAATGGCAAAAATGGATGCTTTCTGTATTTTGTCTATTTTTATAGTTGTTTGTATTGCTTGGGTAATTTAAGACCATGTTACTCTTTCAATCATAAAATCACTGTCAAGAAGCAATGCCACATGAATATATATATATATATATATATATATATATATATATATATATTTCACATTCTGGACTTTGAGTCAAAAAATCACTGGCAACTCAGGTTAAAGGATAAGGAACTGAGTTAGAAGTTAGGACACTGTGTATTTCTTAGTAGAGGTTTCCAGTTTATTCTCTGAAGCAACATGTTTACACTTCAAATAGTAATGAACTTAAAGATTTCCCCCCTCAGATCCACAGTAAGGATTTGTTTATTTTAGCAAGATAAGGTCTTTTCCCTTTTTCTGAGGACAAAATGGGAGTTGTACTTCCTGCCCTACATAAAATGTGGGATTTGTAACTTCGGAATTTCCTGTGATGCAAATCCCCACATTGGATGTGTATGTGACATCTGAATCTCATTGTGTTATATAAAGTGGGGCATGAGGACTGTCATTAAGATATTATGCAAGTAAATAATCTTCCTTTGATCCAGAAAGTTTATGTTTACTGTCAAAATAGCTATTTTAGTAAATACAAAATTAAAAACAAACGAATATCACAACATTTTATTTTACAATGTCATTATGCATATGCTCAAACCATAGTTTTCATCAAGGTAATATAGTTAATCATGTTTAAAGGAGAAATTGCAGATAAAGGTAAAATATTACAGCAAAAATTTCAGAACGTATTTCCAGGGAGTAGTCCATGGTTCTAGTTTAATATTAAAGGAATTACTAGTTTACTTTCTTACTTTAAGATTTGACATGGCTTTTAAAATAAAATTTTGTAAACTTCATAGCCCTATTTTATTATCAAATACATACTGTGATCACATAGACTGCATATAAACAGAACAGTCATTAGGAAATGTAAAAAACGGATTTTTTAAATTTACATTTTCAAATAGACTTTATTATTGCTTGAATTACCTCTGTTTGTGATGTATGTGAAAGAATGTTTGATTTTTTTGTAAAGCAGTATTTTAAAACTAGGCCTTGTTTTCCCAGGAAAGAGACTTCTAAATATTACAAGTAGCTATGACTTATATACATACATACATTTCATAGTTACAGAACAGTGACACTTCTCACAAATATTTTTCAAACTAAGTGCTCTAGAGCTAACATTGGATTGTTTTGGGGCTGTAATTAATGATTTTGCTAAAAGCTGTTTTTTGTGAGGCAAATGCCCAATGTTGCTTGTTCATCCAGAAACCTGGGTATTTTTAAACTGCCCTTGTTAATTAGAAGTCTTTCTATACACGCATGCACACCCATGAGTTTTTTTTCTTAATATTTTCACATACACAAATATTTTGAAGAATTTTATGATAAAATATCTCCCAATGCAATCTTTGTTTGAAAAATAAAAGAACCAAGAGATATAGTACCGTTTAAAGCTCTGTCATTTGGAAGGTAAAATCATTAGTACATTTTTGCCTTATTAAGATGTTTATATTCTGGAAGCTAGTTTAAAACTCAAACAATAGATGAAGTAGATACCAAGTTAAAACCACAGCCCTGACCAGGCATGGTGGCCCACGCCTGGGTGTGGTGGCAGGTGCCCGTAATCCCAGCTACTTGGGAGGCTGAGGCAGGGAAATTACCTGAGCCCAAGTGCAGGTTGCAGTGAGTTGAGATTTCCTGCGGGACTCTGGCCTGGGCGACAGAGCAAGACTCCATCTCAACTAATAATAATAAAAATGAATAAATAAATAAAAATAAAAATAAAATAAAATAAAACCACAGACCCACTTATCCTGTATCACAGGCAAATACTAAATTGTGTTTGGAGAGGGATACCCTGAAATAAGGCCAACCTGCCTCCTATAGCACTTTTGCACATAGTATATACTCAATAAATGATTATAATTAATTTGTTAATTGAATGAAAAGCAATTCTGAGATTTGATGCTTCCCTAACACTAGAACATGCCACGTCTAAAAAAATTTGCTCTTGAATTATCCATACTGATGAAATTGGTGCCCTTTTTTAATAAGGATGAATTACCAGGATGGTCCTAGCCAGGCATTCTGATCTCCAAGGGTAAGAGAGCTATCATATGTCTTCAAGGATATCACTGACTTTCCAGAATGAATGTCATTTGAAGCCTCACCAATTCTCTCTCCTGAGTAACTTCACTTTTCATTATCTGATAGCCTACCTTCCATCACCGACGGTTTTCTTATAGCTTTCATTTATTTGAAGCTTACTCAACCTCTTAAGTATTTTTTTTCCAAAGGCATCTGATCATCTCCTCAAGACTTCAGTCTTTTTCCTTCATATTTCATCTTTTTGCTAAAAAAAAGATGAAGCTGTTAGTAATTCATGGTCAAATATACAGGAAACAAAATGAGCATGCCATTTGTCAGTACTAAGAAACTGTTCTTATTACATAAATTACTTAGAAATTATAATTCACTAAAAATGTTTTTAAAAAGATAAATCATCACAGAATTTAACAATGGAGTAAGGTTTATACTTAAATATATCTTTAATAAACATTTGCTTATTTTATATGAATTCAGCAAACAAGTAATTAATTTTTAGTAGCCTCAAACTTTCTATCTGTAAAGTAGGAGTAATTATAATAAATTTCTACTGAAGAACAAGTTATTTAATGGCCATAATTTGTGTATTTTTCATGATGGTTCTGACAATTTAAATGAAAGTGCTTCATTTTTTTTTCTGTCTCTCCCTCTTTTCTGTCAAAACAACTTCTAATAATTCACTAATAAATCACATGACTTCAGTTATTAAATCAGGATGGAAACAACTTGATCTACTGTTTCACGAGTAACTTTAGTTCCATTCTGCTATAGCATTTCTCACCCTAAACGTCCTGTATTAAAAACAATGACAAAAGAATATTTGAATATTCAAATTTTACTATTTAGAATATCTAGATGTAGATTTCATTATTTCTACTTCCTGTAATTTCCAAAGTTGGTGATGTAACCTGTATTTTATGAACAATCTTATGGCCTACAAAATACCATATGCATACAATATATTTTGAAATCAGTCACATAAAAATAGATAAATATTTGCTCCATGTAAATACCTACTCTTAAAGAGCAGCAAAGGAAAAATATATATATTGCTTTAATTTCAATGCTTAAAGAGAAGCAGAGCCATTGTAAATAAAGGAAGTGATAGCAGGTTCCTACAGAATTAAAGAAAAGAAAAACGACAAAGTTCAGAGATTGAGATAGGTATTCATATGTATGTGAAACACTCCAAGGTTCTCTTTCACCATTTGGTAACAAATACTAGAAACTAGAACTTAGAACCATAGCTCAAAGATTTACCAAGTGCTCTGTGTCCCTAATATGCTCAAAGGAGGTTATGATAGATAGATAGATAGATAGATAGATAGATAGATAGATAGAGATATACATAGAGAGTTATAAAGTTATGCTTATAAGTAGAGTAAGCAAAGAAGAATTTGCACCAGAAAGTTAAGTTTATAAATAGAGTATCCAAAGAAAAATGTATCCATTATCATTCTACATTACTAGACTAAAGGCATTCATGATTCAGGGTGTTTTAATTATTTTGCTTTGTCTTACTACTAAAGCTTACCTTATTCTTTTACCACAGCATTAATAACTCCATAGCACAGAAGTTGAAGGTGAAATATATGTGAATGGATCTTTGCTAGTGTTTAAGAACAAGTTTAATATTTTGGTGATCATATTATTGTGCAGCTTAGAATTTTTTATATCTTTTTTTTTCTGGCACAGAAGTACTACTTGTATATAAAATTAAATTAAGCCACTTCTATGTATTGTTAATATACAGAAGGATTTAAGAGGTGATTGATTTCTCATGTTAATAAGGAAATATCAGATACACTCCTTTTTAAGAAAGAGATTCATGGTTTCAGGGCCATGATAAAGGTGGAACAAACTGCATAGAAGGGGATACGAAGAGAACAGCTGGACTTTAATCGCTAGATTTGAATTGGTGGTAAAGAGAATAATTCTAGTGTCCTCAGTCATAGCACCATTCCTATTCCATGAAGCAGTTACTACGTGCATATCAGCAGCACTCTGATGGTTCTGAATGGTTGAGAAGACCACAGGAATCTCCCGGAGATTCATGAAGCCTTGACCAATGTCACAGTTGCTGCAAAGTAAATCAAGTCAGAAATATTACCACTTATTCATGGTTTTCTTCACTGTATTATAGTACCCCACTAATACTGGACATAGGGTAGCAGGATGGACAGATATTTTGAAGACATGAAAATGGAAGGTGAAGATAGAAAGTAAGGTGAATACCACAGTGAAAACAAAAGGCAATGACCATATTTTTGAATAAGGTCACATTCTGAGGTACTGGGGATTAGGACTTATTTATTTTAGGAAAATATGATTCAATCCATCCATAACAGAAGTGAACTTCTTTATTCTACCAAAAATAGCTTATGAAAAAAATGTCAGTTATACCCTAGTTTATGTTGAAACTCTAAACAACATCTTCCTATGATAAGGAGAAAAGGGAGCTGGGCATGGTGGTTCATGTCTATAATCCCAGCACTTTGGGAGGTTGAGGTGGGTGGACCACTTGAGGCCTCATCAACATAGTGAACCCCATCTCCACTAAAAATACTAAAAACCCTATTTCTACTAGCTGGCTGTGGTGATATATGCCTGTAATCCCAGTTAATCGGGAGGCTGAGGCAAAGGAATTGCTTGAACCCCGGAGATGGAGGTTGCAGTGAGCTGAGATAGCACCACTGCACTCCAGCCTGGGTGACAGAGCAAGACCCGGTCTCCAAAAAATGAAGAAAAATAGAAAAGGAGAAAAGAAAAGATATCCATTGTTAATGTTTTTGGTCAACAACTTTTCTTTAAATTCCAGTCAGTAGAGTAAGGCAAGAAAAAAAAAATATTTCATAAACATTGGAAAAGCAGGAGTTACATGGATATAATTATTAATTTATAAGGTCTTAAAGAATGCTCAGAAACGCCAGGTGCGGTGGCTCACGCCTGTAATCCCAGCACTTTGGGAGGCTGAGGCGGGTGGATCACGAGGTCAAGAGATCCAGACCATCCTGGTCAACATGGTGAAACCCCGTCTCCACTAAAAATACAAAAAATCAGCTGGGCATGGTGGCGCGTGCCTGTAATCCCAGCTACTCAGGAGGCTGAGGCAGGAGAATTGCCTGAACCCAGGAGGCGGAGGTTGCGGTGAGCCGAGATCGCGCCATTGCACTCCAGCCTGGGTAACAAGAGCGAAACTCTGTCTCTTAAAAAAAAAAAGAATGCTCAGAAACGAGTAGAATTAACAAGAGAATATAACAATGCCACAGAAACAAAACACAATAGCATCTTCACATAATAGCAATAAATGATAAAAACTTTTTTTAATAAAACATTCACTGCAGCATCAAATATATGAAATACCTGCTATGGTCTGAATGTGTCTACCCAAAATTTATATGCCAAAACTTAATCACCAATGTGATAGTATTAAGTGGAGGGACCTTTAGGAGATGACTATGTTGTAAGGGCAGAGGCTTCACAAATGGCATGAATTCCCTTATGAAAGAGTTGGAGGAAAATAGGTACACCCTTTTGGCTTTCTGTCCTTCTGCTACGTTAAGACACAGCAAGGTGACTTCTTGAAAACCAAAATTAGAACTGGCTGTCACCAGGCTTTGGACATGCTGATGGCTTGATCTTGAACTTCTTCGTTTCTGTATCTATGAGCAATAAATGTGTCCTGTTTATAAATGACTCCATTTAAGATATTTTGTTACAGCAGTAGGAACGGACGAAGATGATACCCATGAGTACATGTAACAGATAATATACTACAGTTCTACCTTGAAAGGCACAAAACATCACTGTGATAAACTAATGAAGACCTGTATCAGTATAAAATTATACCATATTTATACATTAGAGAACACAATCCAATTAATATATGTTTTCCCCAAACTGATCTATTTATCCATCATAATTCCAATTAAAATAATAGCGAATAACTTTCACTTTTGGCCAATATGGAGTGCAGAGACTAGATTGCCTTCCTGCCTGAAACAACCAAAGCCAAAACAATCAAAGAAAATTAAAAGACATGAACTACTGGTTTAGAAGACAATGAACATCAGACAGTGAATGACAGTGATTGCAAATTCAAACTAGCTGAGCTCTAAGATTGCTCTCTCTTAACACCTTGAAGGAGCAGCACTTGGTGATGGTGGTGGTGGTAAGGGCAGGGGAGGTGGGAAGGGCCAAATTGGAGGTTCACTGAATCTCTCAGATGAAGGGGGATAGCTGGATGTCCAGGAAACCAGGGAGGTGAAACTTTACAGGGTAGGGTAGGAGAGAGGAGGTAGCTACACAGAGAGAATCCTAGAGTTATTCAGAAATTCCCCTTCAAGTACAGACCAGAGCACTTATCAATGTATCCATATGAGGTAAATACCTGTCTTAAACACAATCCATTTTTAAGGCTGTATGCATTTTAATTTATAGCTTACTTTTAATCAAGGTAAGCTAATTCTTTGGCAGTTCACTACTCCTCAAATGAGCAGACTGAGAGAAAGATCGGTTGACTAGTCTTAACATCATAAGCTTATTCTCCGATGGGGATACAAAATAAACTAGATTTAATGCATTAAAAGTAAATATACAACCATGTAAGAACCTCAAATATATGGTTCAAGTAGATGCTCTAAGTCACACTAAGGAGAACGGCGTTTCATCAAAGTATGTGTTGTTTTATGTGGCAAGAGTTAAATAAATTATTATTTTTAAAACCATTTTGCAAAATGTCATAGATAATTTAATATCTTGATCATGATGTATAATACATTTATCTACAAAGGGAAGAAACCAGAGAAATGCAAATGGGTTGTTTGGATCAATATTTCATTATTATTTTCAACCACATTGAAGTGGCTCAGTCAACCACTTGAAAACTGTGGTTTGCTAACTTCCTCCTAGAGTGATCTCTATCATTATTCATGCTCTGGTGTAGCATAAAGAAATCACTTCAATGTCAGACAAAAATTAAGAGCAGTCAGACCAAATTTTGAGGAGACAGAAATTAAGCACATGAACATTTACCTTATCTTGTTTTTCCCCACAGAAATGACAAAATGGTGGATAAACCCTACTAACATTATCAGAATAATTGTTACATGATAAGTGAGATTATTGGACCAGATTTACTCTATGTAGGTAATTATAGGTAATTATAAAGGGAAGGAATTTGTTCTAAACAATTTTTCATAATCTACATACAATTTGACATCTTACAAAATCACAAGGGCTTGTTTAGTTATTAAAAATGGTTAATTATTTTTAATTAAGGTATTTCACGTTTTATATTTTATATGCTCCTTTGATTTCCCCATTACAAAAACATTCACAATGTCTTAGACAATGTTATTAAATACATCTGTACTAACCTAATTGAGTAAATTTCTTATCAAACTTTATATATCCTGACCTCCCTCATTTCCAAACTACCATCATCTCCTATAACTTAAATACTCCTCTTTAAACCTATTATTTCCTTGGAAATATCCTGTTCATTGTAACAACAACAACAACAACAACAAAAAAGTTTAAATAAAATTTTTATTATTGAAACTTTGAGGATATTGCTGCTTTGTTATTATCTTCTTCAAACTCTACTAGAAGTGTTAGTATATTCAGGGATACCTAACGGTGAAGCAAATTAGTTAAGTAGTTTGCTGGAGCCAGAGGTTTTGAGTTAGGAATTAAACATGCATACACGAACAGATTTTTCTATAAATGTTTTTATAGGTAACATAGTGAGACTTCTATACTCCATATGTACAATAGTTGTGAATGGAGTGATTATTTGAATGAAAATAGTAGAAGCAAATAGGTGTATTTTTGTCTGAATATCTAAACCACAAAACTAAATAAATGGCAAGTTCAAATTCTTTCATCCTTCTTTCTTATGCTCATTATATTATCTTATGTGTCGATGAAGTTAGCTTGCTTGACTTCCTTCTTCTCTTCCTGTTGTTCAAATCCCAGCCATTCTTAGGCTATTACCATAATGTTTCTCTAGTTACAGCCTGTTACCCATAATGACTACATGACTGCCCTTAATTTTTGACCCACCTTGATGAAAACCAAAAGTATCATTTATGCTAACTCGTGTTACATAATGTCAAAATGTGGAATTGATTTGCTTACCCCCTAGCAATGTTATTTAACTGCAATTATTTTTTTTAATTTTTTTGAGATAAAGTCTCACTCTGTCACCCATGCTGGAGTGCAGTGGCATGATCTTGACTCACTGAAACCTCTGCCTCCCAGGTTCAAGTGATTTTCCTCCCTCAGCCTCCTGAGTAGCTGAGATTACAGGTGTGCACCACCACACCCGGCTAATTTTTTGTATCTGTAGTACAGATGGGGATTCACGATGTTGGTCAGGCTGGTCTCGAAAGCCTGACCTTGTGGTCCGCCAGCCTCAGCCTCCCAAACTACAAATACTTTTATTAAAGCATAGTAGTTGAGGGTGCAGGCTCTGTAGGAAGGCTGTGGAATCATTGGCTCTGACATTTGACTCTGAATCACATAGGCAAATTTCTAAGGTTTTTGACTGTAATCTCTGGTTCCCAGAAGCTTTCATAGACTCACCTGGGGCCTAGGGGTAGCTTGCAGCCTGGAAGGAAAAAATACAGAATTGGCTGGCTTCACCATCTGCTGATTGTAGAGTCCTAGGTCCTTCAGTGACCATAGATGGCTTCAGGTGTGACCTAGCACTCCCAGTCGTAGTGGCCACAGAAATGCTTGCATTACTATACTCCCAGTACCAGGCAGCTCAGCACAGAGAGATACTACATTTATATGGGTGGCAGTAAGGGAAAATAAGAAGAGTCTCCGGCTGGTAATCCAGAGAATTCTTCAGGATCTTATCCAAGACCACCAAGGCAGTACTTCTACAAGTCTGCCAGAACTACAGTAATTTAGGGCCTGGGGCCCAAGCCCTTTGCAGTATCTGGAAAGGCTTCTCAGGAAGGACAGTCTAAAACTGTTATAAATAAGGAGTAAGGGTCGTTGAGCTCCCCTTCATAAGACACATCAGGTAGCACCATCAGATCTACAACTTTTGCATTAGAAACAGCTAAATACAGAAAATGTGGCATATACACACCATGGAATACTATGAAGCCATAAAAAAGGATGAGTTCATGTCCTTTGCAAGGACATGGATGAAACTAGAAACTATCATTCTCAGCAAACTGACACAAGAACAGACAACCAAACACCCCATGTTCTCACTCATAAGTGGGTATTGAACAATGAGAACACATGGACACAGGGAAGGAAACATCACACACCAAGGCCTGTTGGGGGCTGGGGGGGGCTAGGGAGGGATAGCAGAGGGTCGGGGGACTGGGAAGGG